ACTACTGTACTCCTACTGTACTACTACTGTACTAAAACTGTACTACTACTCTACTACTACTCTACTACTACTGTACTACTCCTGTACTACTACTGTACTACTACTCTACTACTACTCTACTACTACTCTACTCTACTACTACTACTACTACTACTACTACTACTATACTACTACTACTACTACTACTACTACTACTACCACTACCACTACTACCACCACCGCTACCACTACGACGACGACTACTACTACCACTACTACTGCTACTGCTACTGCTACTGCAACTGCAACTGCTACTACCTACTACTGCTACTACTACTACGACGACGACTACTACTACTTCTACGACTGCGACTGCTACTGCTTCGGCTACTGCTGCTGCTACTGCTACTACTCCTACTACGCTACACTTGGCATGGGGCCGGGGTGGGAGGACTGGTGGACTGGCTTTCAAGCGGTTGCCAAACGGTGTAAGGACTCGAAAATCAGGCCCATAAGCCGCGCTGCAGAGTTCGCTTCCAGGTGCGCGTGCAGCTGGCGATGGTGGTGTCGAAGGAGACCGCATCCTGAGCCCGCAAGTCAAATCAGTCCGCATGATCAGTCTCAGCACCGAACCGATACTGCGACACCATCTACGAATCTACGCAGGCTCATCGCTGCGACGCGTCGTTCTGGCTGCTGCTCAGACCAAAAAACCCCGTGCGCTGATGCTGGCCGAGATGATGGTAATGATGATGATGAGGATGATGATGATGATGATTAGGATCATGATGTTTATTTGCCTTTTGGTTGTGACAACGATGACATGACGATCATTGTGGGTCATCGCTATCACTATCAGAATCTGTCGGCGGAATCATTGCACTATTCATCCTCGGGTACTCATGCGGCTGTTTTACAGTAGCGCAGATAATGAACACGCGAGCCTAGCCCCCCAAACAGGGCATCCTCATTGCTGCACGAGACCCCTGGGCTTCGTTTGGTCTGCAGGTAGCTTTGTAGCATTCCAACGATGAGACTAAGGGAGTCTTGAGTACCAGGGCTAGAGGCCAGAAGGAGGCTTATAAAGTCGTCGGATGCATAGGGCTTTCCGGCTACATTCGAATTGAAAAGCCTGAAACCTCGAACATACTTCGAACTTGCGCTGAGGGCGAGAGGCAGTCTCCATGCTCCGGGCCAGCAGGACCTGCTAAGACTGCGCCGACGGGTCCAGGATCCAACTCATCCCCAAAATTGACGTAATCCCGACTGGAAACATAATGACGACAACGGCACCGGGCATCGTGGTAAGAATAACGCCACACAGTCACTGCAGTCTGGAGTTACTCGGAAACGCTGTTGAAGAAAAACTGGCTTCCTTCGCCATCACACATACCTGGTTCCGGCCAGGCTCGGTAACTCCAAAGTTGTGATTTGCACCAGTGGCTCGGGAACAAGGCTGTAGCTTGGCCTCTCTGCGAGGAGCAGGCTAGGCAGTAAGCTCTGACTCCGAGCCACTTGCTACTGTCACTTGCTTGAAAAAATGCAAACTGTCCTGAGCTACGAATCGGCAGAGTGCCTTCAACATCTTCCTATTTCTCGGCTTCCAAGTGGGCATGCTCTGCTGTGGACGAAACAGCTCAGTTTGCGAAGAGTGGCCGGCGAGATCGGCACGACTGAGAAACCCGACACGAAAATGATATGCTGGCCCTGGGGACGGCTGTCGGCGCCGCCACGGGAATGGTACCGGGGTCCGGACTTGGTGCCCGCTACAAGACTTGATGCGAAACTACAGTAGAGAATGTCGAGGCTGAAGCTTTGTGTTCGAATCCCGGACACTGGAGAATTGCGCACTGTGAGAAAGATGCATTGCCGAGGTCACATCCTCAGCTCCAAACTCTGAAACCCTAAACTGAGGGGTTTTGTTCCGACATTTCAGGCCCAGACACCAGCAACCCTCGAGCCTCCAATGCAGGTTTCCAGCGCAAAGCCCGAGCAGCGGCAGACAGCACAGAATTGACAACTATCGATGAAGACCTGTTCAACGGCTCTACGGCTGGATTTTGCACTGGCACCAAGCACACATGGCACATGGTGGGGTTTATGGTCTTCACACTCGCAGTCGGGGCTTTGGGCTCTGGGGTTTCGGGGGCATGGTTCAGGGATTCTGCCTTCATGAGCAAGTCAAGTAGCAAAGCAGGGCTACAGTGAAGTTCCAAAGCTTCTTGCCTCGACGCCCTAATACAATTACAAGTTCTTTCCCCGGCCCAAGCCACGAAGCATCAATAAATAGCGCATTCGCAAGAAACACAATCATCGTCAAAACTTATGCACAACTAACCACAGTAGTACTCAACAAAACAATACAGCGGTAGGCTTAGGTGCTAGGACAAAGGAAACTGCTGTTGCCAAGCGAACCCGAGCCTTCCTGGCATTGACCAAAGGAGCCAAAGTGCCGAGATCCAGTCGTAGCCTTCCGATGGCTCCTACGAGTACCTCTACGCCATGCTTTTCCCGAAGCCCTAAGGGTCCAAATTGTCCACAGTTGCGTGCTCTTCGTCCTTGAAGAGGATCTAGGGGGCCTTCAAATTTACAGTATTTGGACACAGCGGGAATGGATCCACATGCAGCAACCTAAACTGGAAAGTATGAATGTGAAGTGGTTTGGGGACGGATCGCTTTGGGAGTGTCCTGACCGTACTCATACTCTCAATAGATATAGGGAGTCTTCTGGTGTAGGTTCGACTTAA